CAGATGCAGAAAATGCAAAGGTATGTGGACCGTTTGCTGAAACTGAATGTGAACTTCCTAGAGGAGTTGGCAATTTATATCATTTTGCACTCCTTACCTTCGTGTTATGATCAATTCCGAATGACATACCACATGAACAAGGAGGAAGTTACATTCATCAAGCTTCAAGGACTCTTGAAGACCGCTGAAAGTGGTCTTAAAGGTAAATCGGTTGTTACTTCTACTCCTACTCCTACCAACACCCCTGTCTTGGCAATCGGGCAAGGCAAAGGAAAGCAGAGGAAGAGCCCTTCGAAGGGTACCAAGGGAAAGTCCCTTGATGGCTCCTACAACCTTCAATCCATCCATCCTTCAATCCCTTGAAACATACATAAAAATTTGAGAAATAAGTGGTTCCATTAGGCATGACATCTACATCCATCTTCACTGTTGATCCAGGGTTAGTCCTTTTTATCTCTTCTCCATAGCTCCATGTTTTTGCATAATGTTCTTTTAAAGAACCCTCTATCTCCTGAAATGCATATTTCCTTGCATTTCTGCATTGTCCAACACTTGCAATCAAATTAAATTTCTTGCTGACTTTAGCTTTCAACTTCCTTATACTCATCTTTGGTTTCTGAAGTATTTGATTCATGAAATGATTTACTATCCATTTATAGGTAACAATGGACCCAAATTTGAAGACTCTTGCATAATTATGCATATCATTCAGAGATTTAATCTGGAATGATTTTTCACTGGTCACAGGTTGCCCATAACCTAAGGGGACAACCTTTACCCTGCTTATTTGTCTTACCTTTACAACATTTTACCAATAACCTTTGATGATCACTTTTCTCATACCATAAATCATATCCCTTTTTGACTGCATAGTTGGTGATACACAACTTCAATTCAAATGGGTTACAAAACTTCGTACCCAAAACTGGCACCATTTGCTCCCATTCTTGATTCTCATTATGGACAGGGAACACAATATCCTTATATTTTCCATTGTTAGCTTCCTCTTCATCATCATCACTTGTATGTCCTGAAAGTTTGTCCAAGAATGGGTCTCCAACAGTTTTATCAAAAGTATGGACCTCTTCATCACATTCATGTTCATATTCCATTGTCTCTGAAACTTCAGAATCCTTGTCATCCTCTTCATCCAACTCATCCGACTCATACCCTTTACCATCTGCTAAGAACTCGTTATCAACCCAATCAATAATTGGTTCATTTCGGTGGTCAATGTACACATCTAACTCACTCTCAGGACTATCACTCTCAAGACTATAAACAGTTTCCACAAACTCCCAATAATCAGCATCACTGTCGATTCTTCTAATACCCTCACACAAGCTTTCCTTTTTCATACAGTAGTAGACATTAGCACAGGCTCCATTGGTTAATTTCGTAAGCCACAAAAGAAACTCTTTATACGTAAATCCCCCAAAATCCACATCACGTACATTTGTTTTTACAGGGTCTAAGTACACCAATGGGTTTGGCAAAAAGAATCCATTGTAATGAAAATCTACAGATACATACATACCTGTAGATGAGGATGCCATGGTAGCAGTCGACTTCAACTCGTACCTTCAATTCTAAGCCCTAATCGTCGATTTGCTGTATCGATTGATTTCTCACAGAAGAAGGTAATCGAGGTGTGTTTTGGAGCTTGTCCTAAGCTGACGATGACGAACCCTAATTAAATGAGAAAGGGGTGTAATGGCCATGTAAGATTCCACGTAATGTTTTTAACCGAGCTAAGTCAATGTTACCGGCTAAAACAGGTAATAGCCGGTAATGTTGGTTATTTGTGAACGGATGAAAAAAGTTAGTTGGGTAAATGAGTACAAAAAAACAATATTACCCATATGTGAACATACGAAATACTTCATTACCTTAATAAGTCAAATTCCCTCAATCCACCACATAAGGCGTTATGATTGCTACAAGTCTTTATCAATGAAACCCGCAAGTGGGATTTAGTAATTTAAGAAAATTCTTTAAAATATTTTTAGAATTCAAATGCCGAAAATTGGACTCAAGCATAACATAGTTTTAAAACCAGAGTATAATTGTACCGGAGTTTCAATTATAATATCTTTAACAAAGTTCAAATGAACCATATATACATGCATGACTTTCAAAATATCTCAAAAGTAATCTAGAAGTCTTCAATATCTAATCTATGACTACGAGTACATATCAAAATAATGTGTTAGACTTGAGAAGCTTAGTGATTAATATAGAAATCTAATTATCGAATGAAATTGGAAATAACCATGCCTAATTCTTAAGGTGTAGTTTAGGAGTATGTTAGAATTGTAGTTCCAAAACAAAAAAAAAAAAAAAGATACCAAAAATCATTAAAAAAAGCTTTTTAAATCATTTAATAGCATAATAATCATTTCCAAAAACAGTTCAATGTAGTAATGATAAGATATAGAGTTAATTACTAAAAGTTCCCCTACAAACAATACAATTTATTCTTTCATTTTGGACTTTATTCCCAAATAGTATTACCAAACTCATACAACGCCTCAATCTCGCCACCAAAAGTGTCTTATCTACCCCCCATTCTTATTAATAGACTTTACAACAACAATACCATCCGAAGAAAAATAATTTTGATGGTTATTTGGACCGGTACAATGCTCGGTTGGATGCAAAAGATAAAAGCTAGCCAAAGCACCGACATTAATTGCAAATTAGACTTTTAACCTTATAGTTAAACACGCTATGATACATATAGTTCTCAATCTTTTCATTTCATATAGTTGTCAATTATCATATGCATTATCTCGATATATGAATTTGAAGGTATTAGAAGTTAGAAGGGTTATTCTGTAATTTAAATAAAAGAAGGGCTAGATTATAAATAGTAGAAGTTATCCTGTTAGTTTGTTATTCAGTTAGACGACTTATTTCTAATTGATGTACATATGTAATTGTATTCTGTTTTTCAATGTAAGAAGATTCATTCTCTCTTTTCTCTTCGTAATATGGTATCAGAGCACAAATTTCCGTTTTTCAATTCATATGATCTTGATCTGAATCAATCATTCGTTCTTATTTTTATGAGATCGTCTTCGTTGATTCTGTTTCTTTGATTTCAATTCACAAATTGCTCTTGTGAATTTGATTTTTTTTTGATTTCTCGATTCACAAATTGTTCTTGTGAATTTGTATTCTATCGATTCATTACTTCTTGATTTCATCATGTCTGAATCTTCATCCAATCTTTCACCAATTGATGATCGATTATCTCCTTATTACATTCATCATTCGGATAATCCTGGATTCATTCTAGTTTCTCAACCACTTACTGGTGAGAATTATCCTTCATGGAGCAGATCTATGTTAATTGCTCTATCAGTCAAGAACAAGGCCGGATTTTTTGATGGATCATTGATCAAACCTCCTTCTACTGAAACAATTAATCACAGTTCATGGATGCGGAATAATCAACTTGTGATTTCATGGATTCTCAATTCCGTTTCCAAAGAAATTTCTACTAGTATCATGTTTACTAATTCTGCTAAAGAAATTTGGGAAGATCTCAAAGCTCGCTATCAGCAGAGTAATGGTCCTCGGATTTTTCAAATCCGAAGAGAAATTGTCAATCTAAATCAGAATCAAGATACAGTAGGTGTATATTTCACAAAATTGAAGTCGTTATCAGATGAACTTGACAATTTTCGTCCAAGATGTTCATGTGGAAAGTGTGAGTGCAATGGTGTTCAAAATATTGAGAAGTATTTTCAAGCTGAACAGATTATGAATTTCCTAATGGGATTAAACGATTCTTTATCACACACAAGAGGTCAAACTCTACTCATGGATCCTTTGCCTGCTATTAATTGAGTTTTCTCTCTAGTTGCTGAAGAAGAAAAACAAAAGTTGATTTCCAGTGATAATCAAAACTTATCATCAATTGCTTTTGCTGCTAAGGCAAATCAAAATAACAAAGTTCAAACCAGCAACAACAATTTCAACAGGCGTTCCAACAATTCGAATAAAGAGAGACCGTTTTGCACTCACTGTAAACTTCAGGGGCATACTGTAGAAAAATGCTATAAACTCCATGGATATCCACCAGGTTACAAACCAAAGCCAAGATCTAATCATGTTAATGCTGCTGTTACTAATGACAATATCACTGTTGAGAACAATCAATCTGTTAGTGATGATTTGAGCAATATGTTTCGTGGCTTCTCACAAGCACAATGCCAACAAGTGCTGTCTGCTTTGTCCAATCATATGATTTCTGTCAATTCTCATGAAACTAACACTTCAGGTAAGTGTTATTCAATGACTATTAAGAATGGAATTAAGTCATATATGTGGATTTTTTATTCAGGAGCATCTCAACATGTTTGTCATGATCTTAACATGTTTGTTAACACAAGAAAAGTTTATCATCACACAGTAACTCTTCCAAATAAAATGGTTCTTCCTGTGAATTTGGTTGGGGACATTAAGATTGATTACCTTTTCACACTGAAAAATGTTCTTTATGTTCCAGATTTTGATATGAATCTTATTTCTGTTAGTGCTCTAACAAAGTCTCACAGTTCATCGTTCAATTCACTTGTCAAAATGCTTATATTCAGGATGTTCTTCACAAGAGGATGATTGGCAGGGCTAAAAATATCCAAGATCTATATGTGATGACTAATCAACAGCAAACAGAGGTGAAACATGTTGATACAAGAGTTAATGTTGTTTCTATTGATACGTGGCATAAAAGATTAGGACACCCTTCAAATAAAGTTCTTAATCCTATTAAGAATGTTTTAGGTGTTTCTATATCTCCTACTAGCAATGAGCATTGTTCTGTATGTCCTATTGCTAAACAGAAACAATTACCTTTTGAAAGTTTTAATCACATGTGTAATGATACATTTTCTCTTGTACATTGTGATATATGGGGTCCATATCAACATTCTACTCACACGTGGCATAGATTTTTTGCTACTCTTGTGGATGATAAAAGTAGATACACATGGATATATCTTTTGAAGCATAAATCTGACATAACAAATATTATACCACGTTTTTGGGCATATGTAACCACTCAATTCAACAAGTCCATCAAGTCTTTTAGGACTGATAATGCAAAGGAACTAGCTTTTGAAGAATTTTTTACAGAAAAAGGAATTATTCATCAGAAGGCATGTGTTGCCAAACCACAACCGAATTTTGTGGTTGAAAGAAAACATCAACATCTACTTAATGTAGCTAGATCATCGATATTTCAATCCAAAGTTCCAATTCACTTTTGGGGAGATTGTGTTTTAACTGCAACCTATTTGATAAATCGTATTCCATCAAAAGTCCTTGGTAATCAATCGCCATTACAAAGTCTATTTGGTGTTCTTCCTAATTACAAACATTTGAGGACTTTTGGATGTCTTTTTTATGCATCCACAATGAATATTCATCGATCAAAATTTCATCCTAGAGCCAAAGCTTGTGTATTTCTTGGATATCCTCCTAACATGAAGGCATACAAAGTGATAGATCTTGAAACCAAACAAATTTTTTACTCAAGAGATGTGGTTTTTCATGAGATGATATTTCCTTTTCATAACAATTCTTTTTTGGATGTTGTTGATCCTTTCTCTCATGTTGTTTTACCTGTTTCTATGTCTGATGGTGATATTTCCATAAATACCCCTGTTCAAAATTTGTCCCCAAAATATACCTTCTCCACCAACATCTGTCATTCCAATTACAGAACCCACTCATAGTAGACCTACTAGTGTTCATAAACCACCTTCTTATTTGAGGGACTATCATTGCAATCATGTTCATCATTCACCTTCATCTAATCCACATTCGTTAGATAAATTTGTTTCATATGACAATTTATCTGTTAATCAACGAATTTTTGCAATGAATATTTCAGCCAGTTTTGAACCAAAACACTTCAAAGAAGCATCTCAATACAAAGAATGGTGTGATGCTATGAATTCTGAATTAGATGCCATGAAAGCAAATCACACTTGGACCATTATGCCCTTACCTCCAAACAAGAACATAGTTGGTTGCTGATGGGTATATAAGATCAATTATGGAAGTAATGGCTCAATAGAAAGGTATAAAGCTCGCTTGGTAGCCAAAGGTTTCAATCAAAAGGAAGGAATTGATTTTTTTGAAACCTACTCTCCTGTGGCAAAATTAGTCACTGTCAAAATGCTTTTAGCCATTGCAGCAACAAAAGAGTGGGATATGGTTCAACTAGATGTAAATAACGCCTTCTTAAATGGCGATTTATAGGAAGAAGTATTCATGGATGTTCCACCAGGCCTTCATATTCAGGGGGAATCTTCTGGGAACAGACTTGTTTGCAAGTTAAATAAGTCCATTTATGGGTTAAAGCAGGCCTCACGACAATGGTTTGATAAATTTCCACTTTTATGAAAGTTTTGGGTTATTCTCAATCAAAATCTGATTATTCCTTGTTTCATAAAGGATCAGGGGACAAATATGTGGCATTACTTGTTTATGTTGATGATATTATCATTACAGGCCCCTACAAAGAAGGAATTGCATTCTTAAAGCAGCAATTGAGTTTACAATTCAAGCTTAAAGATTTGGGTTCTTTAGGCTATTTTTTGGGATTGGAAATAACAAGATCCAAAGAAGGTATTTTTGTCTCACAACGTAATTATACTCTTCAATTACTTGAAGATACCGGGTTACTTGCCACTAAACCAAAAGATACACCTATGGATCCACGAGTTGATCTTAATGACAAATATGGAGAAGAATATTCTGATCAATCCAAGTACAGAAGACTTGTTGGTCGATTACTTTATCTCAATATCACACGCCCTGATATATGTTTTGCTGTACAAAGGTTGTCTCAATTCATGTCCAAACCTCGCATTCCTCGTTATGAAGCTGGTATTCATTTGTTAAAATACTTAAAGAAAGCACCAGGGCAAGGATTATTTTTCTCAAAGGAATCTTCATTACAATTAAAAGGATTTTGTGATTCAGATTGGGCTAAATGCCAAGATACAAGGCGATCTGTTACTAGTTTTTGTGTGATTCTGGGCAATTCTTTAATTTCATGGAAGACGAAGAAACAACAAACTGTTTCAAGATCTTTTGCTGAGGCTGAGTACAGGGCTATGGCTACCACTACCTCTGAATTGATTTGGCTCAAACAATTGTTAAAAGATTTCGATATTCATTCTAGTGATTCGACATTATTGTTTTGTAATAATGCTGCAACCATTCAAATAGCAACAAATCCTTTATTTCACGAACGAACTAAAGATATAGAAGTCGATTGTCATTTTGTAAGGGAAAAGGTAGAAGATAAATCCATCGGATTGCTTCCCATAAGATCAGCTTTTCAACTTGCTGATATGTTCACTAAACCTTTGCCACACTCAAAGTTACAGCCTTTCATTAGCAAATTGGGTCTGAAGAATTTATTTCTCCAGCACCAATTTGAGTGGGAGTATTAGAAGTTAAAAGGGTTATTCTGTAATTTAAATAAAAGAAGGGCTAGATTGTAAATAGTAGAAGTTATCCTGTTAGTTTGTTATTCAGTTAGACGACTTATTTCTAATTGATGTACATATGTAATTGTATTCTGTTTTTCAATGTAAGAAGATTCATTCTCTCTTTTCTCTTCGTAATAGAAGGTTGTTTCATATCATTGTCAGTCGTCATATCATTTCGCATTCACACGCATACCTTCCAATTTTAACCTTTACATCAAATGGTAAACCATAACCATCATACAAATTCAAATGATTCATCTACCAAAAGTCTAAATGACTTCAATGCTACATATTAAATTCTAGTAAATGTAGTAAATACGACCCAACTTATGAACAAAAGAGTTAATTTGTTTTATATAATATTTTCAACGAACCAAATAAACAAAAGCCAAAAAACTTAGCTAAAACAAATATAAGTCGAAAGGGTCAGAATATCCAAAATCAATTTATCAAAGTAGTTGGATTATATCTTGTAATAATAAATTTATCTGTAATCATTTAATAAAAACATGAGATTTTAAAATCAACAATGGACCAACATAAATACAGTGGGGCTCCGAGTACTCTGGCGTACTGACTACCCATATTGGATGCTTATGGGCCTGTTAAATGCACCATGACAATTATTTCCTACAAAATGAAAAAGAAATCATTCATCGTGTTTGTGTGTCGCCAATCGCCATTCCCCTGCAGCCATGTATCAAGCTTACTTCAATAACAAGTTCACGAATTCACTTGTGTTCTACGTGTTCTTGTTACTTTTACTTCTCATTTCACCTTTTCTTTTCATTTGGGAACTCATCGCCACCCTCCGATCATGTTTCCAACCTATCGAAAACATGTCCGGAAAAGTGGTTTTGATCACAGGTGCTTCATCGGGACTTGGAGAGGTACGTACGCTACAAACCCTAAACCCTATCCTAGTTCAACATCTTGTTTAGTTTGCTATATAAATTGCAGCTCATGGCTTATGAATATGCAAAAAGAGGTGCATGTTTAGCTATTGTCGCGATAAAAGAACCAGAGAGTCGACTCGAGAAAGTAGCAGAGAGAGCCCGTGAACTCGGCTCTCCCGATGTTCTTTTCATATTTGCCGATGTGTCAAAGGTTGATGAGTGTAGGATGTTTGTGGATGACACCATTAAACGTTTTGGTCGATGTGAGTAACGCGTGATCTCAAAGTCAACTCCTTTTTTCACTCTTTTTTTTTTGGGTGAAATTAACATGCTAATCATTTTATTCACAGTGGATCATCTTGTTTGTAACGCGGGAATCGCAAACCTTTATTCAGTCAACATTGATATCACCAAATTCGCACCCGTTATGGTACAAAACTATATAGATCTTTGTTTGTTCTGTAACTTTATATTGTGTTTGACATGTATTATATACAAAGATTGAAATTGTTTATCCCATCCAAATAAGGTGGGACAGTTGTCTCTGCAATTGCAGATATGAATGTTGTCTTAAGTCACGACTTTCATCATAAAAAATAACTCTAACTCTAGAAAATTTGTCATGTGCCATGTAAAAAACGCAACCATAGTAAACAACTTCTTTCGCGGGTCATATATGAACATATGCAGGACATAAACTTTTGGGGATCGCTTTATACAACTCATTTCGCGATGCCACATCTCATGAGAAGCAGCGGGAAGATCGTCGTCAATGCTTCTTGTGCTGGAATATTGAACCCACCGAAAGGAGGCTTTTACAATGTAACAAACCCGATTCAATCAACTCTGTCTTTTTCATTTAACCATATATGTATAAACCTTATGGTACCAAATGTGTATTAATTTTTAGACAAGCAAAGCAGCATTGATAAGCTTCTATGAGTCCCTCAGATTCGAAGTGTCACCGAGAGTAACGATAGTAATCTTGACTCTTGGTTTCATTGAAACAAATATCATAACAGCCAAGTATTTAGGTAAAGGTGTTGGTGTGGCTCTAAGAAATGTAAGTAATTACTGGTTTCCTGCTAAATAACAACCAATCAAACTATCGATCTATCCAATTTTGTAAACTGATGAATTACTTTCTGCAGGATTTTAGTAGCTTGCTCCCAACAATGGGGGCAGAGCCATGTGCCATAGCCATTGTCGATGGAGTATGCAAAGGAGCAACATCCATTACAGAACCAAGGTTCGTGAAGGTTCTCTTTCTGATCAAGTTCTTGTTCCCAGAACTACATCATTTCTACTTGAGTAAGTTTTTTCGCTCGAAGTCCAGGAAGAATCAGAAGGGATAGATAGCCCTTTGCAAGAAGGTTGATACTATCGTCAGTATGGAGTATGATTCGAATGGTACTCATCGATCGTGCTTTTGAGTTGTTCTAATCTGTTTAATGAACTTTGAAATAACGGTGAATTGCTATAGTCTAACTTTTGGAAAGTTGATAGGTTATGTCCTTATGGTTTCAAAAAATTATATTGTTGGTCATTTCGAATAACTCTGTTAAAAATTGACCTTAAGTATGAGTAAAATGACCCCATACTGGCCTTATATTTTTAATTTATGTTATTTGTTTATTTTCTAAACTATAAGGACCAAATATATAATTGACAATGAATAAAGTAGAAGTCCTAGATCCTAAATACCCATTTATTTCCTCGTTTAAGTTTTGAAGATATGCCGGATAGAATACTTGTTTCTTACCACCCAACACAAAATCTTGAAGGTTTGATTTCACATGTTCTTGAAAATTTGAATTTCATCTATTTAGGTCTTATTTTCATGTTTTTCGATGAAGGGTTTGGATTACAGATGCTTAATCACCCACCTCTAACTGCAAAGAGATATATTTAACATGTATTTATGTGCGAACCAATATTCCAATATCTCAAATGCATCTGATATTTTTTTCTTAGCCAACTACTTTGATGTTTGAGGGGAAACATTGTAATTAAATTGTATAATTTTCATGAATTTGTTGATATTTTTTCAGACAGTTCTGTATTTGTAAAGCTTAACATGCGGTCCTATCCTAACGAAGGAGGGACTCGTTCCCTCCCAACCCACTGAACCCTCTGTCACATCAATTTTTGTCTTTTCTTTTTCTTCATCTTTCCCAACCCACAATATACGGAAATCCTATCTTTCTCAACTCACTCAACCCACTCAATTAAAAAAAATACAAAACAACTAAGTTACAAGTTTTAAAACACATGGTACAAGAGAAAATGAGAAAGAGAAAGTAGAGAGATGATGAAGTGGGTTAGTGAAACCCATTAATCAACCCGTTGAAGCGGGAGTGGTACCGCCGATAACTCTATTGCTAATTAAGATTTTACATTTGATTGTTTTCTATTTTTTTTAATTGAATGAGTTGAGTGAGTTCAAAAAGATAGGATTTCCGTGTGTTGTGGGTTGGGAAAGATGATGAAAAATAAAAGACAAAAATTGATGTGGCAGTGGGTTCGGTGGGTTGGAAGGAAATGACTCCCTCCTTCCTAATGACCGACATAAAAGTGAAATATAATTGTACCAAAATGTTATCGGAGAAGACGACGTGAGAATATGGGAGTGGATAGAAGGGGTGGTGGTGGTTGGTCTCTTATTAAAATTATTAAATTAATAAAAAGCAAAATATCAAAAAATAAAAACCGAAGTAAATTTGCCGTTTACTTGTATTTAACAAAGATTTTCTATCGAAATTAGACGGAATAACCAATGGTGCAAATCTTTGAAACCAAAGGGACGTAACTTATCAATATTTTAAAATTTTAGACTAAACTTACCAATATGATTTCTGTAACTTACTCTTTTTAATGGTTAAATCCGAAGTTTTATAACCCGTTCGAACCACGGTTACAAAATTAATTTAATTTTCATAGCAAAAATTCATAATTACTAATCAATTATTTTACATAAGTAATTTTAAATAACCTATTAATTAAGAGATATACCAAAATTTTAAAGTTAGTTATAACTTCAAATTTAACATATAATTAAAAAAGTAAATGTTTCTATAAAAAGTTTAGAATCAATTATTTAAAACCTTAACGTCATTAATTGTGATAGTGATTTGTCTAATATATCTCCTTGACACATGTCATAATATTAATGTGGAGTCGTATTAGAGTGACACATGGCAAAAGAAGATTAAAACTATTTTTTTATTGGTATAGGGATTATGTTTAACTTTCTGTTATAGTAATAATAATAATAATAATTGCTTTTTATTACGACAAATGAAAATTATGTGAATAATGTTGAATTCGATGCGGGGGG